TTATTATTATTATTATTATTATTATTATTATTATTATTATTATTATTATTATTATTATTATTATTATTATTAATTGTTATGTTATTATTCTCTTCATTTTCTTCAACAATGTTTTTTCTATTAATTCCACTGATCCTACTTTTTATTCGAAGAGATTTATCACTTTTATTCATTTCTTCTTCTGCTTTGGCAACTTGTATTTTAAATATAGTTTCCAACGTTTTCAAAGCATCCTCAACCATACTACGACTTTGGCCAAATTTAGATTTTTCAGCTAAATATTTAAGGGCGTTAATACATCTTTCCATATACATTTTACCTATTGAAAAATATTCGGAATCACTTATATCCATTAAATGTATAGTAGCTGCTTGAGAAAGACAATATGCTGTAGCACTATACATATAAAATATTCCTCGATTTTCTATTTCTATACAATCCGAAAGTTTGGTAATGTTGATAGCTGCATTTCTACATTTTTCGCGTGAATCAATTGAATCAATAGATAATTCTTCTGAATCTATATAAGGTCTATGAAGGGAAATAATTGCTGCATTATACAGTTGATGAATATATGCTGTATAAAGTGAAACATTGGTTGGACTTGGATCTCCAAAATTTGGTGGGGTATATCTTAAATGTGGTGGTAATGCAAATTCCCATGAACTTAATGAAGCTTCAATAGCTGGTAATGTATTACGTAATGATCCGGGTTGCAATGAATAAGGTTTTGATTGTATAATATTCCCATATATTTTATAAAGTTTGGTAAGATGAATAAAATTAATAACATCTTGTGATTCCTCCCCATCTTCTTCAATTTCATATGGAAATTTTGTATTATAATCATAAATAGGTATAGGTTTCCTAATTATATAAAATCAAATTTATTAAATTTATAAAGTAATTAAAAATTTTATATTAAATTTATAAAGTTATTAACAAATGAAATATTTAAATTAAAACATACCCAAATGAAGCACAAGCGATAACTTCTGAGTTCATAACACACCAAAAGACTCTCGTTCTCACGGCCTTTTCCACTTTACTGATATTCAATTTTGAACAATCTCGATTTAATGACAAGTCTAAAGACATTCTGACTGCCATTCCAATAAACATCCAAATTCGACTTGTGTTACGACTCTTTTGTTATATGATTTAATAGAATTCAATAAATTCAATAATTTAATAAATTTAATAATTTAATAAATTCAATAATTTAATAAATTCAATAATTCAATAAATTTAATAATTTAATAAATTCAATAAATAAAATAATTCAATAAATAAAAATTCAATAAATTAAAATTTAATAAACTCACTGATTTGACACAATATTGACATAGTAAAAGAAACGCCTAGATTATATACAAATATCATTATGAAAATTTGTGAAAATTTATGTCCAATTTTTTTTAAAAAAATAATACCTGTACAGTAGAAAGACGTGATCTGTCCATGAAATCATCCATCAAAGCTGAAATTAATTAATTAATTAACTAATTAATTAATTAATTAAAAATCAATTTGGTAGACAATTATTGTTTATATCAATTTTTAAAAAAAACTCCCCTCCCCGTTATTTTGACTTACCAAGAGCTCGTTTGAAAAATATTTCCCCAGCTGTTTCTGGTTTATCCGGATCTGATCGTACTCTTGGATCATCTGTAAAATGACTAGATACCGCCAATATACTATTCAACAAAAAAAGGGATGGTTGATTATGTTTATCCTTAAGTTGTTTAATGAATGTAGGTTTATGTATTAATGGTACTCTTGATGCATAACCGTAGGTTAAAAATTTTTCTATCAAATGACCAAATAAATCACTTGGCGGAAATTCTGCAGTTCCGGATATTTCAGGAAGAGGTGGTTCCAATGATTCAAATGTTTTGGTCTCTTTACTTTGCAAATTATTATTATTACTATTATTACTATTATTATTATTATTATTATTATTATTATTATTATTATTATTATTATTATTATTATTATTATTATTA